TGAGCTTTTCGAATGAAAATTTATCGAATAAGAAAAATCGTGTCGACGCGCGATAATAACGATCGATACGCTCGATATTATCATATATATTCATTTCCTTTTTTCTGGTTTCTCTCTTTCTTTTTTTTCTTTCCTTCTTTCTTTCTTTCTTCCCTTCCTTTTTTTTATTCATCACGTCACGTTTCACGCGTTGTATACACTCTTTTTGCACGGGGACCGAATCGATAGAATTCGCGAATTCGAGTCGGTCTAAATTAGCTAGAAATTGTCTCGCTTTTAAACACACAATCACACTGTACGATTATACATTTAGAATACACGCATGCGCAGCAAACACGTCCATTCTATCTCTACCTTGGGCAGTACAACTATTGTTTTTATATTGTAAAATGATATGTTACGTTAAGGTCAAGCGAATACGTTGCCCTGGGAAAGGCATTCGAGAGCCTTCGTTTCCTTTTTTATTTTTTTTTTTTTTATTTTTTTTTTTTCTTTCTTCTCTTCGCGGCACGGTAGTCACGGTTCACGATTTAGTTAGAATATATATACGCTCGATTGGATTATAATCTGCGGATCTAATGAAATCTGATGAAGATTCGAAAAAAAAAAAAAAAAAGATCGGTGACAGCGAAAAAAAAAATAAAAAGTCGAAGAAGAAGACGAAGAATATTTTAGAAAAAGATTTCTCAGGAATCGAGGAATTCGATTTTCCATTTTTTTCATTGCTTCTTCTTCTTTTTTTTTTTTTTGTATCAAAAGAACAAATCGATTTATCAAGGATCATCAAATAATAGCGAATAAATAATTGTTGCAAATAAATCGTTTCGTTATTTTTTTTCTCTCATTTTTCGTCGTCGCTCTCTCCGAATTCGCAAATGTAAGGCCTCGCATGGGTTTTACAATTTAGGCTATACTTTCCGCCGTTTTCGAAGATCACACACAGATGTGTACGCCTTTTGTTTTACTCTCTTCAAAAAATCGCGATGACTCTCTTCAAGAAGGGAACGTTGAATTGACCTAACTTTTCTTTTCCTTCGAAACCACGCCTCTCCGTTATCAATGCGTGTACAAACAATTTTTTTCCCCCCCTTTTTTTTTTTTTTAATAAATATATATGTGTGTATATATATATTATACCTATACGTACAGTCCAAGACACACTTAAGAGAGGATCCGAGGAGTTCGATAAAATTTTTATTCTCTATATATCGACTTATACGAGGAAAAAAAATTTATTCAGTCACCATCTATGACGAATATTACGATACTCTAACGAGTCAGAAATTCGGTGATATGTTCGTGGATCGACATGTTCACGGATTCAAGCGGAATTTACACATTTTTATTTTTATTCTTTTTTTTTTTTTTACTTTTTTTATTTATACTAACGATCAGTTGGAAAGCGTTTATCAAAGTCATCATCCTATTAAGAGTCGATCTTTGTCCGATTTCGAGAGGATTCTTATTTTTTAGGATAATTGTTCGTGAAATTCTGAGATCTCTTTTTAAAAGAATTATATTAATTTTTTTTTTTATTCTTTTTTTTTTTTTATTTTTTTTATTTATACTAACGACCCGTTGGAAAGCGTTTATCAACGTCATCATCCTATTAAGAGTCGATCTTTGTCCGATTTCGAGAGGATTCTTATTTTTTAGGATAATTGTTCGTGAAATTCTGAGATCTCTTTTTAAAAGAATTATATTAATTTTTTTTTTTATATTTTAGAATTGATAAAGATTTATCTTAAGTGATACATATGGTGTATTAATTAATCTTTTAATAGATAGGAACGAATGCATAAAAATTCTTCTGTAAAAAAAATTTTGTTCGATTTATCTATGAATCCCTTTATTTCTTTTATTATTATACTTGTAATAAAAATATTAAAGACATGTATTATATTAAAGACATGTTGCAAAAAAGGATTAACCCGTCTTCTATCGAATTATTTTCTTTCATAAAGGCAAAAATTTTAATTTTATTTTTAATAAAAATGGGAATGTAATCAAAACTTAAAAAGTTTGTAATTTTTCAAAACTTTCGAAACTTAAATGCAAAATAATTTTTATTTAAAAAATGTTGTGAGGAATCACTATATTGATTCATATGAATCAAAGAATAAAACAAATTTTTTTACTATTATTTAAATTTCGAGAATCTCAATTTCTCGTAAATTTTGAATTGAAGAATCAAGTTTCGATCGATCTTCTTTAGGATAAACGACTCCAAACGCCTTCCAAGATAATTATCTACTTTCAAATAGCCTGCTCGGCAAGCCCTTAACAATCTAACGATATGTATCAGAAGAGTGACAACCCTGAAATCTCGTCTTACCTCCGTTTCTTTGTCTCTTTCTCTCTCTCTCTCTTTCTCTTCCTCTATACGTTTATCTTCTTTCATCTTCTATTCAGCGACATACTTTCTTCTTTCTTTTTTTCTTTTTTTCTTATTAAATTAAAGCCAATCTCGCGGTTAATCGTTGAAAATTTTTACAATCGGCTCGAGTCGATATTGCAAAAATCGTTCCACATTCATCGTGTATGCCTCGCGATCGGTGACACACTTTCTTCGAAAACGAGATCTCGTTGCCCGACGAGCCGAGTTTACCGCTTTTCATCGTCAAGGGACATCTCGTCTCGCTCTGAATTTCGTGACGGTCCAGTTCCCCGGAAACAGACCGACCAACTTCCTCTTTCAGGTCACACGGATTTTTGTTTCACGGCAAGAAAGATAGTAAGAAGGTCTGCTTTCGTTTCACTTGAATCTTTAAACAACGACACACCACGTGAATTGAGGAGTTGAGAAAAAGAGAAAATTTGGTCGCGAATGTGATGCTTATTTTGGAACGATTTAAATTAGAATAAGAATTATTCGATTCAGTAGTAGTAAATTTTAAATTTCAATAGATATAGCATTAAAAAATGTTGAACAAAAAGATATTTAGATAACCTCTTCAGAGATTGATATATATATGTACGTTTTTCTTAAAATTAAAATTATTTTAATTAAATAATAAAAAGAAAAAAATAAGTTCTATCGAAGAATTCCTCACTACAAAATCTTTTAATAATAAAAACTCGAAACATCGATAACATTTTATTTTACTCAATAATCATTGCTTTGAAATGTTACGTTTGACGTCTTATGGCGTCCCTAAAGAGGTTAACCGTTCACAAATATGTTAAAAAACACACGATTCATTGATCGAAATATTTGTTTATAAGGGACGATGATCGGGCAACGAGATTTCGATTCACTTTACGAAACATATTTTTACTTCTAAAAATGAAAGAATTAATTATTTAAAGAAAAAAAAAGAAACGAAATTCACATCTAATCGCACATAAAGATAGACTCCAGAAATACGCTAACAAGTTCTATGTAATGCCTAGAACATAATCGCCACCTGTGCGCACGAAACGATGCGCACAACGCGCACTCTGTTTTCCCTTCCCTCACTGCGTTTTTTCTCTCCTTCTCGACGCACGTTTTCATGAAAATAGAAAAATAAAGGAGCGTGCTCATGGACGAGGGCAATTACGACGAGACTGCCACATGTCGCTGACGAAACGTGTCTTTCGAACGTATCAATCATAAAATTAACCGTTTCTCTTGTTGATGTATGACTTTTTACCCACCACTTTTTTTTTTTTATCCTTTCTTCACAATATCTCGCCTTTCAACGTACACACACGGTTGACATATACGCACAGGCACACACATTCTCTACTATATTCTTAATCACTTAATCACCACTCGTCACTATTAATTGCGGATGCGTATAATAAATGCCCAGTGGTTGTTCGACGAGGATCATATTTATTTACCAGCACGAGGATTGAACTCTTGAACTCTGAGAGAATAAGCTGTCGATCGACTCTATCGGAGAATCCGCTCGATTTGACGTGGAAATCCGAGGAATTTACGAGAAAAATATTCGATTCTTTCTGTTTACGAGAAAAGTATTTTTTCTTTCCTTTTTTTCGATCACCGTTGAAGAATTTCTCTCTCTCTCTCTCTTTCTCTCTGTCTCTTTTTCTTCTCCTTCCTTTCTAACTTCTTACGCCGTAGAATTCACACCGTAGATTCTATCAACGGGATAATCGTCGAGCAGAGATTAAATATTTATAAATTAGAGGAACACGCGTCGATGCGGCAGCTCTCTGTCCTTCGAGGAAAAGGTTGTAAGTAGAAAACGACGAGGCGATAGAAAACTATCAGGCAGGCTCGAACAGCTTTTCGGAATTAGTTTTTTTTTTTTTAGAGTTTAGTTTGAAGAAGCGTCTCCTGGATTGAGTTATTTTTTGTTTTTTTCTTTTTTTCTTTTTTTCAGGACTGCGACTATATATATATATATATATACTCATCTCCTTTGTTTCTCCTCCTATCTTTTTTTTTTTTCCGTTTTCTTCTTTTCTTTTCAACGCAAACTCGATGCGCGATTATCCCACGTTATCGCCACGCATGCACGCGTGTATAAATAATAACGTGGATCCCACGGGAGAAGGGGGGAGAGTTCGACGAGTTTGAAATCGGGACGAGACGAATAATACACGGTATATACGAATTACAGCATGACTCGACCAACGGGAAGGCACTTGGGCAAATTACGTGCCGAGTTGGCCGTCGTATCTAGCACGCAGGGCACACACCATCTTCGGTATCCTCGATTTTTCTCTGTCTATTTCGCGCCA